CACATCGATTTTTCATATATTTTATATATTTATTTATATATATGTATATATGAAAAATGTATCAAAATGCATGTGGGTACTTACATGAAAGCTCTTGATGAGTGTATCATCGGGATGAGTTTATATCTTCAAAAATGTCAATAGTTAAAAAAGTATAGTGCAATTCAACATAATTAAGAAATTACCTTGTATCTTGAGAACTATTGACATTTTTAAAGATATAAACTTATTCCTATGTTCTACTCATCAAGACTTTTTATTTGAGTACCCATATTAATTTTTCATATATTTATATATATTATATATATGTATATATGAAAAATATATCAAAATGCATGTGGGTATTTAAATGAAAGCTCTTGATGAGTGTAACATCGGGATGAGCTTATATCTTTAAAAAAGTCAATAGTTAAGAAAGTACAGTGCAATCTAACAAAATTCATTATTTAATATCGCAAAATTTTATTTCTCTAATTTTTCTCCTTGCAAAATTTGCTACTTTCTAAATCTAATTCCTCAAAAATTAAAACAGAATTTTTTATTCACAGATAATGATAGTTAATCATGACAATAATTGTATTTTAATTTATAACCAAAAAGTCACTTAAAAATATCAATTAAAAATAAATAAGTGAATGAAAATTGGATAAAACTTTTTCCTCGTTACCCCATTTTCAAAATACACCTCCAGCGAAACAATAAATCTGATTGCATAGTTGAAGCAGTGATTACCATTGGACAAACACAAACACGAGGAGCATTGTCTTGTCGCTCCCAAGTGTACAGTCGATTGAAAGCTACGCAACAATACGATAGGAAGGACCAGGGCTACAGAGGGAAGACAACGGCATCGAAGGATAAAGAAGAGAATGAAAAGGGCCAAGCCTCAGAAACGCAAATTGTTAAGTCTTTAACAAGCTGCGCGTAGAAAATCAGCTATTAAAGTCTCGGTATCCTCGCTGTAATGTCTTTTCAGCCCGAGAGGCTTGATAATAAGACAGTTTTATCAATGCCAATGGACATTGCTGGTTCACCAGGCTCAGCTTCTCGAAGGCTCAATTCAGAATAAACAATCACTATTTAAATTATTTAACTTGCCGGTCATAAAATATTTGTTCTTCATATGTCATCTATTTAAAATAAACATCCAATAAATATATATCATTATGTCTACATAGTAACTACTTGGTAACATAAATATTTAGCTATTAATAAGTAGGTATCATATAAATATGTTGCGGAGATACACATATATACTTAAAGTTGAACGATAAATCTTTAAGTAAAATTTTAATTAGAGTTATTTTTATTTTTGATATCGCAATACATTTCCTATTTCTGCTCAAACAACTGCTAAGTGAACACAGGATAGCGGATGAAAAAGTAAATATACATAGAGAAGCTAAAAAATCTATGACAAGAACGCGTAGTTCGTGCCGGAATGTAACTCTGCACGGAGATACATCCGTCAGGAAAGAAACACGAGGCGCGTGTATGCCGAGTAGGATGCTGGAGCATTTTGCATTGAGATCAAGAATACGATCGGATAACTCGAACATTGCACTCGAGTACAAGTACTCTTACTGCTGGTGATGTCTGCTGCCACGCGAGACCTTATATATACCCACTCGTGCACCGGATGAGCTTCCTATATTCTCAATATCTTCAATGATACCATCATTTATTTGGAAGTGATCGCCCTCATTTGTTTTAATTGAGTCCTGTAAGAAGTTTGCTTACGGTAAATAAATTATTTCCATCGGTCATTTTTTTTTCCAGAGGAAATTTTCAAGTTATCCCTGCTAAGAAGCTAAAATAATTAAGAAATTATTTTAGCTATTTATTGTCGATGGATCGAGAAATAAAACAGTTTTTCAGAAACCTTCAAGCGTTGTAGAAAATATTTTTTTGATCAAATTTGGACGGATAAAAATTATAAGCAACCTTGCAGTCACTATGTGACTGCCGTGACTTGTGAACTATAAATAAATAAAAATTTTATTTATTAAATACTGCTATTTATGTTAAATTGCATTGTATTCTCTTAAATATTAACGTTTTTAAAAATATAAGCTCATTCTGATGTTACACTCATTAAGAGCTTTCATTTGAGTACCCACATGCATTTTTGATATATTTTTCATATATACATATATATATAATATATATAAATATATGAAAAATTGATGTGGGTATTTCATTTGAGTACCCACATGCATTTATTATTTTCATATATACATATATATATAATATATATAATATATAGAAAATTGATGTGGGTACTCAAATGAAAGGTCTCGATGAGTGTAACATCGGAATGAGCTTATATCTTTAAGAATGTCAATAGTTCACAGTATACAAGGTCATTTCTTAATTATTGATATTTTAAAAGATGTAAGCTCATTCCGATATTACACTCATCAAGAGCTTTTATTTGAGTACCCACATGCATTTTCATATATTTTTCATATATGTAATATATATAAATATATGAAAAATTGATGTGGGTATTTAAATGAAAAGTCATGATGAGTGTATCATCAGGATGAGCTTATATCTTTAAAAATGTCAATAGTTCTCAAGGTACAAAGTTATTTCTTAACTATGTATCTTTAAATAGAGATTTTTCAAATGCAACCTAAACACTTATCATCATAAATTGATTATTGGTGAGTATGATATGAAAACCTTAAAAAGGAACAACTTCAAATCAAGACTTTTCCAACGATACCAAATTTGACCATAAAAACCCATTTTATCTTATAAATAAACTGGCCACAAAATTTGGCTTATCCTCTTAATTATATAGATTATTAAATAATATTATGTTTATAAAAAAAAAAATTGTTAAATTTACGGGATTGAATCTGTAAAAATAACGAACTCAAAAAAAAATTTTTATATAATTTTATTCAGTTTTATATAATGCATTTTTAAAATGTAAAATTTACAAATTTTTAATCCTAAAATTTACTAGATTTTTATGCAATTTTAACAATATTGTTTTTTTGTAAGAAAAAAAACTTCAAAACATCTTCAAAATAAAAAAAAAATTTCTTCACTAAATATAACCATATCAGAAATTTTTTCCCGTATTTTTATAACCCAATAAATACAATTAATTTTTTAGAACTTTCCAAACAATCGGATCTATATTTCCAATAAAATAAATCCTACTTTTTTCAATTAATAATTTTCCTCAGTTTAAATCTCCTATTATCAACTCTTAAAAAACCCATCAATGTAAAAACATCTATTCCTTAAATTACACAATCTCAAAACTCGATAATTAAATTTATCAAGAATTAGGTGTCGTACCATCCCCATCACTATCATGATCATCATCCTCATCCTCATCATCATCCCCGCTGCCCTCCTTTCCCTCATCCGCACTATTATAATCATCCGGAACATCAAGCTGATCATCCGCAAGAGTATCCAACAATTGGTCATCAACCAACTCTTCAGGATTGATTTCAACGCGAAATTGACCGATAACCCTACCTTGTCCATTCCGATGCCTCTTGAGTGACTGATCTATCGAGTAAATCAAATTCATGCGAAACGGATCGCCCATATAGACATACTCCAAGCTCATGCCGTCATTCTTAAGCTTATTTTCCACCAGCGCATTTTGCTGGATGTAATTAGACCAGCAGCTCTTCCTTCTAGTCCCAGGAGCTTTTTTACAAGAAGTGCTGGAAGACATACTAAAAGAAGTCCCCGAGCGAACAGCGTTGTCCAATTTTGCATACTTGTTGGGTATTGTTGACTTTTGATACTTGCTTATGACATCATTCGCCCAAGGATACTGAAAAGGATCTCCAGAAATGCTTTGCTCAACAATATTATCAATCGCCGGTTGAAGAGGCATCATTCTTCTGTAAGAGCGCATCATTGATTTTATCAATTTTTTCTCAGCGTGAGTTACATCTTCCTGTTTGTCCGCATGAATTGTTTTCAGCAGCAATTTTTTCGTCGACTTGCCAGCGGATTCCGTTTTGTTAACAAAACTATCAAGGCATTCTTTTAAGTGTTCTTCATGGAGCAATTCTGATAATTTATCTTTTTTCTCTTTGTCATATCTTTCCCGTAACTCGTCCAAGCATTTAACATTCATCGCTTTTATTTCCTGAAGCTTAACCGTGCTTGCAAAAGGTGATTTTTTCTTTTTATGCGAAAGTGATCTACGGGAATTATTCTCGTTCTCTTTTTTAGCGAGAATACTTTTAGTGACGTGCAACAGATGTAAAGGCAATAAATCTTCATCCTCCATAAATTCACTCTCCAATGTCAGTCCTTGTTGCTGCAAAAGATGCTCGATTATCAAAATATTTCCCATTATTTGTCGCAAGCAATCGTTGGCTTTAAAATCTTTCGGACGGCTTAACCATTCCTCTGAGAGTTTACATACTTCTATAAGACGCGGAGGATCTTCAAGTATTTTATGCAATCTCTTATTTTTATCTTCTATCCTCGAAGAATTCCAACCGGCGATTTTTATTTTTGCATAAGAAAATAATTTAAATTTTTGCCAGCGATCAAATATTCCTTGCTCTAAAAATTTTTCCACTATTTCACGCGCTGGATTGAAGATTTTGTAACCTTTTATTACTTCTTCAATAAAAGTTATGACTAATTTGAAATTTTTGAGCCAGAAAAATTGTAAATTTGCTTCGGGAAAAATTGTAAGATTTTTTAAACACTCTGGAGGGCTTTCAATCCCCGCTAAATCGTAGCCGTCGAAGACATACTTGAAGCAAGACATGAATTTTGGCTTCATTATTGTAAAACAATAGTCCAAAAGCTCTATTGTCTTTTTTTGGTCCTTTATTTTTTCTTTATAATCGGGCATTTGAACGGCTTCTATTATCCGATCTCGAGATTCAGGATCAAAATGCCTGCAAAGTAAATAATACGTCTCACCAATTATTATTTCTTTTTGGGTTTTTGGAGGCCTTGAACATCCTTGGGTTGTTTCTGCAAAGCCAAATATACGCTCGCCTATTTCTTCACTAGATTCCGCTGATACGGAGTAAACTAAAATAATTAATTGAGAATTTTTTGGTGATTAAGTGCACAGTAAACAATTTTGCGTCAATGCGTAAAAAAATTTTATTATAAATTTTTTTTGTGTTAATTTAACACTTTTCTGTGTGCATTTGACACTTAAAACTGTTGAATATTTAACACAAAATTTTTTGACGCAAAATTTTTTGCTGTGATGTCTAATTAATTGTTGGTACTTTAATAATACTTACCGGCGAGGAAAATTATAAGTAAACGCATCTCTACGCGGTCACTGTAACATTTAAAAGATCAAATAAAGTTTTGCCGTATCAAATCACTGGTTATCTTTACGGTTAAAGCCGATTCGACTTGCAATCAAATAAATGTCAATCATCGTGGATTAAGACCGCTGCATTTGAATGGGATGGAGAGAATTGGTGAGTTTATTGCGAGTAACGAGAAATTTATATTTTATAATAAAAAATTAATCTTACCAATGGTGATTAGCTCCAGAACGGGAAATAGAATAGCCCAATTCATTATTCTGAAAATAATTTTATTTATTAATAATATGTTTTTTTAAAATGCAAAATCAGTGTTAATAATAAAAGATTTTTTTTTTAGAAAGAGAGAGAGGGAGAGTTCAAAAATTTGTGAATAATATTTAATATATTTGGTTGAAAAAATATTAATTGATATTGTGAAAAATTTACTGTTTATAGTAATTTTTTATAGAAATTAATATAATTATAAAAATGGGAATTTTTACTAATATTTACCATTTAAACGTTACAATTTACTCTTTACATGGAAGAAAATACTATTTCAAACAGTAATATTCGCTATGTCAATGTCTGAAATGTTAAAGTATAATAATTAAGAGTTCAGACTTTGATATTTATCATTTCGTACCTAAAAAATGATGTTATGATATGTAAAAAGTATAAAAAAAAAAGTTAGTAAATTTCTAATACAAGCAACGTCTTTACAAAGTAAAATAGTAAATTTTAAACGCAACGCTAAAAATCAAACTTTAATGATTGACTTGCTTGGACTGGTAAAATGTATATTTTAAATGTATAATTTTTACTGTTTGAAATGTTAAATTCTCCCCGAGTGAGACCCCCTTCTCTTTCATCTGAGTTCCCCTTCTCATAATATGGACTATATATTGAAATGGCAATTTTTACGGTTTGAAACTGTAATTTTTTAAGATGAAAGAGTCGGTATTTACTATAGTGACAGCTACTAATCACTTATTTTGGATATTAAATTATAAATTGTGGCTTTTATACTTTCTACATTAAGTTCTGTAATATTTATATTTTTGCCACCCCGATGTCCGCTTTACTGTTTGAAACTATAAAAATTAACCGGAATACGAGTGAATATTACAGTTTACTTTTTTCTGTGTATAATTGCCTCCAAGTTCGCCTGTTAAGTTAAAATCATAATTAAAAATTAAAGTAAAAAAAAATAGCTTATTTTTACTATTAAAAATTTTTTGACAAAAAAAAAAATTGCAAAAATATAATTTTTTCAAAATTTCTACCATTAGAACACTAATTTCCTAATATTACTCACCTTTAAAATTATTTTAAATTTTCTTTAAAAAAAAAGTCTAAACTCTTAAAAATTTCGATCACAATTATAAATATCAACAAAAAATACATAATAATTTTTTGCCAAATTTTTATCCAAAAAATCTCATTAAAACATTCATAAATAATTCAAGTTAAAAATTTATTATTTAAAAAAAAAAGTAGAGACTAAATAACTGGTTCGGCCTCACGGCCGCAACATCAAAAATCAAAATTCACGGGTAGTAACATCCTAAAGGAGGTATTTGATATTTAATTAATCCCCATATCTATATATATGTATCTATATATAAAATAAATCTGTTTTATCAACAAAACTCAATAGCGAGAATGAAGCTTTCCATCAAACATAGGTAGCGGTAGCTGTCGAGCAGACCTAAGACCTAGCAATTCATTTTATCGGCCTCGGTTGATTAAAATGAAGAAATAAATATATTTAATTTATCAAAAAATTCATTCTTAAATAATTAAATTACGAAAATATAATTACAAAAAAAAATAATTATTATTGTTAACATAATAAGTAAATTTTTTTTTTTTGTAAAAATCCATCCAGACATTTTCTTCTATAGAGTAATATATTGATATAAATAACAAAAATTTTTTTTTTTTAAATAATTATTACAAGTATCGAGTACAGATCGTTACGTGTCTTCGGCGGCGGCGGCAACTTCCATTAACGGATTCCAAACGAATCAGTACAAGTCCCCCGAGACGAGCTCCACGGAAACGATATAATTAGTCGCCAATCAACCGTTTCTATCCGTCTAAGATAAAGCGTATAAAAGCAGGAATGATGAAAATAAAAAATAATAAATGGTTATTTTTTATTAATTTACTGTGATGAAAATGGTGATAAAACTTATGTGAGTTGTCATTTTCCCACAGTCGTAACACAAATTATTTTCCTAAATGGCCATTACTACTAATGTAATCCCGTTCATTATTATTAATTAATCATTATGACTATATCTTTTCATTTAATTGTTGGTATTTTTACAACAACACGCTCCTATATGGAAAAGCTATATACTATATACTATCATCATCAATTTAATAATAATAAAAATAATAATATCGAAGTTCTCTCGAGTGATGGCGGTTAGATTATTATTCTTTCGAGATATTCTCGACTGTCTGGTTTCGACAGACAAGCCCGAGACACTTGGCTCGCTTCTCAGATTACTCAACCGCAACAACGCTGAGGGATTATATCCTGACGCAAGCTCTACTCTTTTCTCCTGGTGTATTTTTTCCCCTTCTCTGTCTTCTGTATTCTCAACAAAACTTTTTACTTTTTTAAACCTATATTTACATATTTATCAGGATTTTAAGGAATCTACATTCGAAATAAGGGTCCTTGGTAATTTATGTGCAATATATATAAGAAAAGATTCTTTATATATAGATATATATTTGGTTCTTTTAGATTTGCATACAGCTCGAACAATATGGAGCAGTAATATGACCCGAATTATCCCTGAGACAAAAATTTTGTTTTGTGATAAATTAAGTTTGGAAAAAATTTTTAACTTGATTAAAAAAATCTTTCTAAATTTTATCTATATTATTAAGAGAATAATAAAGGAGTTGTGCCTTTTCAAAGTTTGATATCATTCTCATCAATAGTCAATTTATGATGACAAATATTTAGGCTGCATTCGAAAATGCTCTATCTCTAGATACATAATTTAGAAATGTCCTTGTATCTTGTGAACTATTGACATTTTTTAAAATATAAGCTCATCCCAATGACACAGTCATCAAGACCTTTCATTTGAGTACCCACATCAATTTTTCATATATTTATGTATATTACATATATGTATATATGAAAAATGTATCAAAATGCATGTGGGTATTTAAATGAAAGCTCTTGATGAGTGTATCATCGGGATGAGTTTATATCTTCAAAAATGTCAATAGTTAAGAAAGTATAGTGCAATTTAACATAATTAAGAAATGACCTTGTATCTTGTGAACTATTGACATTCTTAAAGATATAAGCTCATCCCGATGTTACACTCATGAAGACCTTCCATTTGAGTACCCACATCAATTTTTCATATATTTATATATATTACATATATGTATATATGAAAAATATATCAAAATGCAAGTGGGTACTCTAATGAAAGCTCTTGATGAGTGTAACATCGGAATGGGTTTATATCTTTAAAAACGTCAATAGTTAACAAAGTAGAGTGCAATTGAACAAAAGTCATTATTTAATTAGGCAAAATTTTATTTATTTATAATTCATAAATCACGGCAGTCACATAGTGACTGCAAGGTTGCTAGTTTGAAAATTAATTGATTTAAAAAGATTTTTATAAATGATATTTAAGAGGATCTTGCGCTACTAAAAGTGAATGACAGTATACTTTTCTAAGGTGAAATAGATCGGAGAAAGTTTCTCTTTTCGATAGTAATAGCGGGTGTACGATTACACGCATCATGACTTTTACAAAGGTTATTATAATAAATCCCGACAAAATGCCTCAATTATAAACTACTGTTATTACTCGGAGGTTTATATTAATTATTAACGCTTGTTAAAAAAAATAAAACCAGTAAAAATGTTTAGAAGAAATTCTCATAAACATATACGGCGTTGAAGATGATTATGATTATGATTATGATTATGATGATGACGATGTAGAAGAAAAAATCTCCTGGGAAGTAGGAGAGAAAAGAGTTCACGCGTGATAGATATCGAATAAAAGAACACCGGAATGCATAATACGGCATGTAGTTACTGGTTGCTACTGGGGCTGCTGTTACCTATTACCTACTACTACCTACGCTACTCTTTGTTCTCGTCTGCTAAATTACGACTGAAAAAATACCAAGGTGATTTCTCAATTGTTAAATACAAAACATAATAGGATTTATATCAATATCATCGAGATTCGTGATATTGACTTGTAATTTTTTTTTTTATCACGATCAACCTCACGCTAACAATATTATTATTATTATTTACTTTTTTTCAATGAATTTAAATTGTGTTTAAAATTTTTAATAAAAATAATGTCAAACAGCAACCTTGCCGTCACTATGTGGCTGTCGTGACTTGTAAACTATGAATAAATAAAAGTTTGCTTTATTAAATAATAACTTTTGTTAAATTGCACTTATGTACTTTTTTAACTATTGACTTTTTTAAAAATATAAGCTCATTCCGATGTTGTACTCATCAAGAGCTTTCATTTGAGTACCCACATGCATTTTGATATATTTTTCATATATACATATATATATAATATATATAAATATATCAAAAATTGATGTGTGTACTCAGATGAAAGGTCTCAATGAGTGAAATATAGGAATGAGCTTGTATCTTTAAAAATGTCAATATTTTACAAGATACAAGATATAATAGGTCGTTTCTTAATTCTGTTAAATTGCACTGTACTTTCTTAACTATTGACTTTTTTAAAGATATAAGCTCATCCCGATGTTGTACTCATCAATACCTTTCATTTGAGTACCCACATGCATTTTTATATATTTTTCATATATACATATATGTAAATATATGTAATATATATAAATATATGAAAAATTGATGTGTGTACTCAAATGAAAGGTCTTGATGAGTATAACATCGAAATGAGCTTATATCTTTAAAAATCTCAATAGTTCACGAGATACAAGGTAATTTCATAATTATGTGTCTAGAGATAGAGCATTTTCGATTGCAGCCTTATTACTTATCATCATAAATTGACTATTGGTGAGAATGATATAAAATCTTGAAAAGGCACAAATTCAAGTCAAGACCTTTGCAATGACACTGAATTTTATTGAAAAAAACCCGATTTTATCATATAACTATCCTGGACACAAAATTTTTCTTATTCTCTTAATAATATAAATTTAAAAAATGCAAGACTTTGATATTAAAAATTATTTTTGTTTAATCGAATAAAAATTTTTA